GAGCACCTCCCCCTGCTATACACCTCCCATCTGCCACCAAGCACTATGACTTACTGCAGGCAGTTGGCCTTTCCCAGCTGGGTGCCATTTCCCAGCATTGGCCATAACATGTATATATGTGGAAAGGTTCCCCTGCTTCCCCTGGTGTCAGTGAGCTGCTCCCAAATGCGCAGTCTCTCCATCCCATTAAAAGTAATGGGGTGAGATTGTCCAGCCCATTACTTTCAATGGCTTTGTTTCAGCCAGACAGCCTAAAGCTCCTGTATCCTCAAAATAGCAAGCAGAGAAGCTCCAAAACTCTCTGCTTCATTATCACATCATGGATTCCAGCTTGCCAGAGTTTAATTGGACAGACAGCCAAGCCTGCGCTTCAGTTTGTTAATTGCTGCAGGAGAGACAAAAGTGTGCCTTGCTGACAATTATTTCCTTGCTCAGCAGTTCTTCGTTTTAAGGGGATGACTTTCAAGGTGCGAAGTTTTACAAGAATACCCTAATTTCTTTGAAAACAACAAGAAAAGAGAAAAACATATGCAAACACAGCCACAGGAGAGGCACTTTGTGGAACGGTTATGTGCTCCAGCATCCAGCTGGTCTCATGCTGCTGCAGGGAAGTGCATTTGCAGGAAGGGCTGGCCGGGGAGAAGCACGGCTCGTGCAAAAAGCCAAGTGCAAATCGTATATTTAAGATGCATCACGGGAGCTGTAGTTTGAGTACTTCTGAACTGTACGTCCAATAACACGCTGAGGGCAGAGACTGGGCAGAAATCAAAGCGCTCTGCTTCTGAGGCAGCTTGATATTACAACAGGCTCAGAAAGCTGCATGGCAGAACACCACAGGAGCCAGAGAAATCTCACTTGTGGCCCCGCTCCTGACCTCAGCTTCTGCTCTGGCAACATTAAAGCCTGGCAGAACCCAATGACACAGCACCCTGTGCCTGCTTCTCAGCTGGAGATGCGAACCACCGGGTGCCTCTACATCCACAGCCACTGAAACCCAACATTTGCCTCAATACCTGGCAGAAAGCAAGAAGTGGGGAGAGCTGAAACTCCCATTACCTTTACACACCATAATATTGCTGTGGTGACAGTTCTGGCCAAGGGATGGAAGTTCTGAGCACAGCGTGGGGTTTTTCTCACCACTGCCCTCAGCAAAGGGAGAAGCACAGAGCATTACAGAGCATCACAGCCACACCAGCTCCTGCTGGACACAGCGCCGTGCCCCACTGCAATGCTGAGCCTCTCTGCTGCTGCTCAGAGACACAAACGTCTCAATGCTCACAGCCCTGTCCAATCCAGGGCAGATGGTAATAAATTTTTCAGTGGCTGGAGCAGAGAGCAGTAACTGTGTGATTAGCATCTTTTTCTCCACTGCACATTTCATCTGTAAACTAAGATTAAATACCTGGAGGAAAAAAAAAAAAAAGCAAGCCACAGAAAAAGGGGAACCTTAATATGTTTTCACTGCAGAGTTCACATGAGAGAGCAAACAGCTCAACTCCGAGGTCAGCAGCAGCTTGTAGGGAGCACGCTCCACACATGGCGATTCAAGAAATCTCATTTTCAAAGGGATGCTCTTCTTGTCAGCGTGGCTGCACCTGGAAATTGTCCTGACCCAGGCAGCCAGGGCTGCAGTGCCCACAGAGGGAGCAAGGCAGGGAACTGCTCCATTACCCACCTCGGCTTGAGCTCTCGACTCATTTAAACCAAACAAAACCGATTCCAGCTGCCAGTCAAGCCTCAAGAATCTCACTTTCCTGTGAGCTCGACCTGAGATAAAACAAGGGAATGAGTTTCCTGTACTGCATGGGAGATTAGGCATGGTGCCAGCTGTGGAGAACAGGATGGATGCATCAGCAACCAGCAGAACAATGTCCTCCACTGCTGCAACACAGGGATCAGTGCCTCTAAGGGACCTTGGACAGCAGGTGTCATAAAGCCAATTTTGGCTTTTATTTGTAGCATTGCATGCATTTATAGCTAGAAGATTGTTGTTAGTTCCACTGAAACCAACTGCTGTAAGTCTTCCTCTCCACAAAGCTGCTTCGTGCTTCTCCCCCAGTACACTGGGTGCACACAACTGCCTTCCAAAGGGCACCGGGCACCACTGGTGGGTTCAGCCATGTATTATCTCCTCTGTTTCATATCTTTATGTTTGCTGTGTGTAGTAGGGACTGGCACTGATCTAAATGTGTTCATTTCACAGAGCAGACACCCAGCAGAGGAGATCAGCCGGCGCCCTCACAGGACCTTCAGGAAATGAAATGATGCTTCACTCTAAAGCCACCACTGTGAGTGAGATGGGGAAAGAAAGAAGAGATACAAAATAAAACAAAGACAAAGTAGAGAGATCAAAGGCAGCGTGTGTGCATGGAACAGAAACATAGCAAGAGTGACAGCACCGGGACCCAGCAGCATTGCTATGGGAACATTAAACAGCACTCTGATCTCCAGTCCGAGGTGCTCCTTGCAGGAGAGGAGGTTTGGGCGGGGGAAGAAACTTTTCCTTGAAAGCCAATAGCACAGCAATGCAAAGTTCCTTCCTGTTTTATCTCTGGCACAGAAGAGCAGAACAGACACTTTTCATCCTTTGCAGTTAAAACGAAAAAGAAAATAAAGACGACTTTTATCCCAGATCCATTTATCTAAAGAAATAAATTCTGCTCATATTTCCAGCAAGAAAGCTCTCCACCTGGAACGCGCTGAGTGGCTGCAGGCAGGAGTGGAGCAATCAAGATAATTTGCTAATTCATTTCATACTATTTTTTTTGAAGCCTAAACCGTAAGTTAAAACAAATCCGGGTATCCGAGCGCTCTGTGCCAGCGTTTTGTTCAACAGATATCAAAGTCAGGTAGAAATTCTACATCAAATTATTCATTGCACAATCTTAAAGCAGCAACCACCCCCAGAAGCCAGGCAGATCTTCCACTGTAAGGGAGGGAAATGTCTCTGTGCCACAAGTAAACCTTCATGGCAAACACCATCCCTCCCAGCCCTGCCCCAAAGGCTCCATCCTCTCTCCATCCCTGCTAGATGCTCATATCCTAAACAGGAAGGAGCAGCAGCTTCGCTCAGCTTCCCAGTGAAGGCAGTGACCATGTATTTCAGCATGCACCAGGCATCCTGAAGCAGCTGCCACGTTCCAGCTCAGGACTTCTGCAACTCAGCAAAAACAGAGCCCAGAAATGCCATAGGAACAGCCGGGCACCCATCGGTCAACAGCTGCGCGCTGCTGCAGCATCACCCTGTGCTCAGAGGGGCTGCAATAGAGAAAGTAATGTTCATCACCATTAAATGTCTCGATGGAAGGCAGGCAGCTGGTTTTCAGCATTTAGCTGATGAAATAAACAAGGGCGCTTCTGCTAACGTGGAGAACAAACATGATGTGACTAAGGAAGCTGGAGTCTCTCCAACTCCCCCTCTGCTAGCTCTGGGACCACAGAGCCACACTTCTAGGAATGGAAACCCACTTGGGGGGCAGCTCAGCTCTTCTAGGGTTGGAAAACGTGTGTATTAAGGACAGTAGGGATGCAGGGAAGCACAGCTCTCTGGCTGAACATCACTCTGCAGTCTGCTCCAATACAACCCCATTGCCCATGCCTTCCTCCTGCAGCTGCAGGTGTCCCCTCAGGGCTGTGCTGTCACCCACTGCCTGAAGCAAGGACAGGCAGCACTGTCATTCCTTCCATCACTCACACCCCAGGATGGATCAGACCCTGCACTTTGCAAAAGCCACCAGACAGAGCTGTTGATGGGCAGGCAGAGCTGTTCTGCCCATCAAAAAAAGGTGTACAGCCTCCAAGAAGCATATTTAATGTATTTCTCCTAGATGGCTTTTGCTTTTCATAAAGCTGGAAGTGCAGTACAATATATGTGACTGATTAGGCTGCATAACACAGTTCCTGCACATTCAGATTAGGAAAGATTATGACAAATAAAATAGCGGAACACAATTCTTACTGCCATCTATTTCCAAACGCAAGACAGCAAGCACAAGGCAGGTCTAGGGGAAGAATAAAGGCACGAGGGCCTGATCCTGCCCTAAATCTCGTGCAAAGGCATCAAGATAGCATCTTCCACCCAAAGAACCCAGCAAGGGTGTATGCTAAGCTACACATAGATCCTAATTCCCACAAATGACGCGGTCAGTGGGCACAGTAGGGATGGGTTGATGGTTGGACTCGAGCTCAGAGGCCTCCTCCAACCTTACTGGCTCTAAGGAACCTTTTGGGAAGGAGGAAGCAGCTCTCCACACACCTGCGCCCAACAGGCTTCAATGCCAGCAGCTGCTCCACTTTGCAGCCCTAACGAGCCCCAGGAAACAGGCAGCCCCTGGTAAAGGTAGGGCTGGATGATAGCTTGGCTGAGCACGGGCTGCCTTCTGAAATGAAGGTCAGTGCTGGTACTTGGGCTGTGATTTTCTTCCATTTATTTCTTGATGGGAAAGTGATGGAAAGTGTAATTACTGCTGTACGACAGCTCACAAGTTGCAAATGTCCTAGCCTAGAAAATCAAAGGCAGGGCCACAAGTGCTGCAGGAAGGAACAAAGGGAAGCAACAAGGGGTGTCAGCTCCCACTCACCCCATCCATCATCCACCTGCACATGGGTGATACCGGGGGAGATACGTAGTCTCCATCCATCAGCCTGCTGCCCTCCCTGCTCCCAGCACACATCCTGCAGCACTCAGACCTGCTCCTGTGGGGCTGAATCAGCCTGGAACACCCCAACCCAGCACCAACCAAAGCAGCTCCAGCAGAACTCAGCAAGACCCATTTCCTATTGCATACTGCATCAAACACAGCACTGCAAAATGCAGACTCCTCAGCAAAGCTCTCCACCAGCTCAGGAAAATCAGAGCTGCTCTTCAAGCAACAAGAGGAGCACCAGGTGAAGAGGAATCAAGCTCCACTCTGGTTGCTTACAAGCAAACTCCACGGTGAAGGCATACTGAAATAACCCAATCTATCAAAAGCCTCTATAAAGAAGAAATCACACAGTACCTGCTGTCTACTGTGCCTCCATCACACAGATCTCAAGCTCCAGTCTCACCACAACAGCACTACCCCCACTCCTGGGCTTTTCAGCAGTGAGAAGCTGCCTGGAGCCTCATTAGCTGAGTGCCAGCACTTGGGCCTAATGAGCACTCCTCACACCTGGGCCCTTCTAGAACCTTCCAGCCCTTGCAACTGGATCCTACCAGAACCTTCCATGCCTTTGTTAATTCCTGATGCAGCCCCACCTGCCCTGGGGCAATGCATCCGTGTGCCCTTTCCATGCCCTCCAGCACTACGTGCACCCAGCGGCTGCTGCAGGGCTGCTCTGGGCACAGTGCCCACAAACCCACAGAGATTTCCCTAAATCTGTGACCATGCACAGCAGAGACACGTTTGTTTCCAAGGAGGTTCCGCTTCCCTTCCTGCTTCAATAAAGACAAAGGGACAGATAAATTGAGATTTATGGGTTGCCAGAAGAGCAGATTTTTTTGCTTTTTTGCTATTTTTCCCCAAACCCAAATGCAATTTTTTATGTTTTCCCTTTTCTGCAGCAACTGTTGGAAGGCTGCAGATGGAGCACTGAGAGCAGCTGGGATCTCCTTGGAGAGAGCTGCAGGAACAGCAGGCTGCAGGGCTGAGGGGGTGGGCATGTGTGTGTATCTGTGTACACAGCATCGCCCCAATGGCACCACTGAGGCAGATGACTGCTAACCTTCCTTCTCTGGGTGTTGTATGGCCACTACCACCAAAACACGGTGCTGGAACTGAGTGTGGTCCATCCGGCTTCTGCCATTTGAACAACAAATAGTCACCCATGGGTCACCCATGGGTGCCTCAGCGCTGTGCAGCAGCTACAGGACTGGAAAGTAGGGATCATACCTGCAGACTCCTCCTGCTGTGCACACATGTGACACTGCATAGACGGGCAATTCCTATTGCCATTTCTATGTACTCTACACCCATATCAGCACTCCATAAACACAGGAATAAATGCATTTCAGGACCTGATCACCAGCAACCCCTGACCAAAGCCCCATGATTGGGAAATGCAGATTTTCCCTGAAGTCGTGCAGAGTGGAGTCAGGCCGGTGTCACCTCTGTCAGACAAATGCCAGCCTGCCCCTTATTGCCATTGAAGCCTCCCTGGCGGATCGCTCCGTGCTGTCACCCTGCAGCCCAGCATTTCAGAGCAGGGTTCAGCCCATGCCAGCCCAGGGCTGGAAATTCCCACATTGTGGCACATTTCTGTGGCATGAGCAGAGTGACACAGCTGAGCCCGCATCAGCAGAGGGCTGCCAGTCTCATCTGAATAGCAGTGCCTAAGTTTCAGCTTTAATTAAGCCCCTGTGGGCTCCTTGAAAGCTTGGAGATGACACAGCCAGCTCTGATGCTGCTGGGAAGAAGTGTGGAGCCGGCACCAAAGTTTTGGCCTCCAAAGCAAAACTGGGAGCTGGGAAAAAAAGGGATGAGTTTTGGGGGGGAGCAAAAAGGGGTTTTGGGTCTCAGGACCCAACTTTAGGGTAACGCAGAGATGAATGCAATGCTCCACCGCAGATTTATGCTGCAGGAATGCTGCTCTCTATGCGTTCACACACTGGATACACAGCCATCAGTGCTCCTAAATTAACGACCCATGGCTGTGCCCGACACGTCCTCATGTAAATCCCAATGTGTGCTGTTTGCTTTCAGAAGAGACAAACATGCAGCTCTCCCCCAGTCTTGCACCATACCATCATATTTCAGTGCCAACAAGAAGATTTCCATCAAACATAGAAATGCATTTGTCATAACTGTTCACAGTGGCTGCTCTTCTCCAAGCAACAACTGAACAGCAGTGATGCTGAATTCCCTGTTCAATGGCAGCCGTGGTGCTGCATTGCTGAGCTTTGTTTCTTGCACGCTTCCTTCCCCGCTTCCTCTACTTTCTTTTCATGTTAGAAAACCCCTCGAGCAAAAAATGCTCCTACCTGGATTGCACTCATTTGTAACTCAAATAAAAAATGTAGTTTTGAACTGTTTTACTGAAAAAACAATAACAAACCAAGCAATGACAAAGAAATTTGTTAGGGATTCTGAGCAGGGAGAAAGCTTTCTTTCCATTCGTTCTCCTTTCACCACTCAGTGTGCTGATGGTTGGATTTGATTTTAGTGGTCTTTTCCAACCTTGATGATTCTATGATTCTATGATTCTGTGATTCTCCCTTTCTCCATCCACTCTCCGTTTTCCCTACCAGACCCAGTGCCATCTTAACACAAGGGTAAATAGATGGGAAAACTGGGATGGGTTATTGGCCAAAAGAATGAGATGTGAGGGCTCCTGGATGGAAGCATCATGAAATTAGCATGGGGAAGGGGAGGCCCAGAAGAGCCTGGAAATGATGCTGCTCATAGAGCAAACATGGAAAACCAAAACAAATCATCCGGTCGTATTTGAATGATGAAGATGGATGAAGGATGAAGGCTGTGCTGACAAAGAGCTACTGAATTTCCACACAGAAGCAGCAGTTGTGGAGTGGGATTTGACCCCAGCAGCACTCCTGGTGCTGTGGCCACTGTCACGAACCCAACAACACTCCAGCAGCACCGCAGGCACTGAAGAGCTCTTTCAGTGTGAAGTGATGGTTGGGTTCAAGCACCCTCACTTCCCACCCATCCCTCACTCCGCACCCATCTCATCCTCCACCCGATGGCTCAGTTTTCTTTCCATGGCTCTTCTCCTCCCTCCTACCGGGTGCATCTCAGGAGATGCAAACAAAGGCCCAAATCCAGTCATTATTTACACAGTGCAGCTCCCAGAAAAGAAGGAGAGGCTCAGGTGTACTCTAAAAAAAAAGAACTCTGAGATTCTTTAGAAATAGAAATAAATAGCAAACTGCCTGTGTGTCCTTTCTATTCGCTCCGTGGCTCTGCAGAACGCAAAGGTTATGTTTTCCAGATTTTCTCCACCAAGACCCCACAGAGAATAGCAGAGAACGCTGAGCAATTCCCTTCAGGTCACAGCGCTGGGAGATGGAGCCCTCAGCATGGCCATACACATCAGGGACCGATGCTTCTGAGTATGGGCAAGATTTGTGAATAAGTACAGAATGTTATGGGCCCTAAGTGTCATTTTTTTTCTCAGGATCCTTCGAAGAGGAGTTTTTGTTATCCTAACTAAAACTTTATTTTTTTTTTATTCTTTCTTTTATTCTTTTTCAAAGCCCTTTTTCATCAGGCAGGCTCAGCTTGGCTTGTGATAAAGCCTATGCACATAGCACTGCTGTAAATAAGCTCTCCTGCACCGATGGAAGAGATTGAGAGATTTCTCCCATTTTTCCATGGCTGGAAGCACCCACTGAGATGCTCAGCCCCATGCCCTCGTGTGGGGCTCCACTGTTGTGCCCAAGATAGGTTTTACAAGGCTGTTTTTCTTTCCTTTTTCCTGCACTGGGCCAAGTACACAGAAGAAGTGCTCCAGCCACAGGGCATTCAGCTCTGGAGCTCTTTCCAGCAGGGAGCATATGGTGACTGCACATCGCTGGGATTATGGATGGGCTCACCTTAAGAAAACAGAGAAACTCATTTGTTCTTCTATTCAAACCCGTGTCTGTGCTCTCTGCTGACACAAATCAGCCTTCCCAGCACTGGCACACACAAACCTACATTGCTTTGGCTCTCTGCAAGCCTGAAGGTAGGTACGGCGCTGAAGGATCCCAACCAACCCCATATCACAGCAGTAACAGAACAGCACCGTCACGTACCACGTTGGTGACTCCATGCAATCACTGAATCACAGAAGGTCTGGGGCTGCCCTGTGGGCAGGCTTGCCAACCTCTATATCAGCTATTAGATTAGGTCACCCAGTGCCCCACCCAACATGGCTTTGAGAACCTCTGTGAATGAGGCATTCACAACTTCTCTGGGCAGCCGAGCTTTTCCATGGGGTCCCATGCAGTCTGACTCCCAGCAGACCCTATAACTGCCCTCACAGCCACCCCAGCCCTCCTTTTGGAACCCAGCCAACTCCTTCACCCATTGCTCCATGTTATTTCCGCTGCCTTTCAGCAGGGAGAGATTTAGGATCCATTCCCTCTTTGAGTAACATCCATTTGTAAGCGCAGGATCACCAGGGAGCAGTCAATAAGCACTGTGCCAGCCTATCCCTACTCACTGTGCAGCAGTTAGTGCAGAATATGAAATATATATGGCTGCCTTCACCTAATCTAAAACTATATCAAATGGCTCTTAACCTTGCCCGAATGAATTCAATTTGGCTACTGGATGCAGATCCAATTCCTTGGGCTAGAACAGAAAAATCACTTACTACAGCAGTGCTCCCAAGGGACTGGCTTCAGAGACAAAACTCTGAGGGATTTCCAGCTCACTAATCCAGTGATAGCTCACGCAAGGCAAATCCAGAATGATGATGTCTTTTTGTCCAACATAAGCAAACCCCAGGAAAGACAGAAACGGGAGAAGTGTTTTGGGGGGATCTCCAGCAAAGCTCATGGAGATGCTGCAAGGACGATGGAGGCACAGGGTAGAGAAGGGAGAGGAGGTCTTTGTGTCTCACCAGTGGTTGATAAGGAAATGGGGATGTAGAGGAGGCAGGCAGTACAAGGTTGATTAGGCATGGAGAGCTGCATGGGACCACGGAACGTAGCTAGCCTCAGCACACTCTGTATTAGTGTGGGAGAGAGCCAATGTCCTGTACCAAGTCATGCTTTCCCAGCTCATCTGGACCCGCAGTTCTGACTGTGCAGCTCTACCCTTCCATGTGGATCTCTTCCATTAATGACCTCATTCAGATATTCTTGGAGGAATTAGCAATGGTAATTCCTCCATCCTGCGTTCCTCAGCCTACTCCTCTTGGAGAGGGATGCTCCAGGTGATGCTGTCCTCTCCCCTTCTCTGTTCTCTTCTTGCAGTGTGATTTTCCTGGCTCAGGAGCATCACCTAAGCTGAGCTGCACTATTGACACCACTCACTGCTAATTGAATTATCTGATAGGACACTTTGTTCAAGCTCATCAGTGATGGCCCTCACTCAAGTGTCCAGCAAAATAAGGTTGGAGATGGCACGCTCAGTGCCAACCCCCTGCCACCCAAACAGCTGGAGGGTCCTCTTTGGATACTGGCAGGAATTGATCGCTCTTTGGCTCTAGGTCCTTTT